AGTCCTGAGCCGTCATCACAAGTTTGCTAGGCTTGGGCCCATTATTGCAGTCATTGCGTCAATCCATCTCAAGAGACTTCCTCTTTCTCATTAACCCTCACATAACCAAGCATGATATACTTCTCCAGGGACTGGCCCCTCCTGGTAACATGACCAAAATAAGAAAGATGAAGTCTGACCATTCTTGCTCCTAAGGAGCATTCTGGCGTAACTTCTTTCAAGACAAATTTGTTTGTTCTTCTGGCAGTTATATTCAATATTCTTTGCCCACACCATAATTCAAATGCATCGATTCTTCTCTGGTCTACCTTATTCATTGTCCAGCTTTTACATACATGTAAGGCCATTAAAAATACCACGGTCTGGGTCAGGAGCACCTTAGTCTTCCCTGTAGGCATATGGATATCATCGTATCACTGACAGAATCACACTTCAGGAATGATTTTGAAATATTCTTTTTGATGATGACTGCAGTGCCATTTCTCTCTGTCGTTCCCAAAATAAGAGATCATATGATGGTCTGATTCAAAACAGCCAGCACAAGTCCATTTTAGCTCACTAATGCCTAAGATATTAATCTTTATGTATTTCATTTCATTCTTGACAACTTCCAGTTTTCCTAATTTCATACTTTGTACATTCCATATTCCAATTATTAATGGATAATACTTTTGCAGCCGTTTCTTCTCATTTTGAGTTATGCTACATTTAGCAAATGGAAGTCTCAAAAGCTTTACTCCATTCATGTCATTAAGACGACTCTACTTGGAGGAGGTAGCTCTTCCCCACTCATATTTTTAGTACACTTCATCCGGAGAGGCTCATCTTCTGGCATTGTATCAGACAGTGTTCCACTGTTATTTGTAACATTTTCCTAGTCAGTGTTTTGACAAGTCAAACACAAAGTCCTTTTTCCTCCTCTGTCTTAGTCTGGAAGCTCTGCTCAAACCTGTCCACCATAGATGACCCTGCTGCTATTTGAAATATCGGTGGCATAGCTTCCAGCATCACAGCACACGCAAGCCACCACAGTATGAAAAATTGACAAGTGGTGGTGAGGAGACTTAAGATATCTGAAAAAGTCATCTTTGAGAGTGGGAAAGTGACTAGAGCAATGCCGGTAGTGTGTAAAGGTCTTTTAGAAATTTGTGGTTATAAATTTAAAGTGAGACTGGCAGGTGGGATTTATTTTGTTGTTGCTCTGTTTTTGTTGTTTGGTTGGTTGGTTGGTTGTTTCTCCAGTCAAATTCAGCTGTCTAATGCAATCACAGGTTAGGCATAGAGGTAAGTTTAATCATATCTTGTTTTTTTTTTTTTTTTCAGGAAAGTAAGACGAGAGGGTAAGAACCGCAAGTATATTTAGGGTATATGCAAAGATATAATTATAGTGATGTGGCACAGAAATAGAAACTGTGCTTTAAATGAGAGAAATTTGACAGGAAGAGAGTGATAGAGAAAAAGTGGTAGGATCAATGGAAGGTGATCCCAGTGGAGTCCAAGAATTACATGAATGGACACCTAGAGAGAGTGAACTGGAGAGTGGGATGCTTGAAATTGAGATGATTGAGATAATGCATTTTGGTAACAATCACACCTAAAGTGTACCCATGAAAGTAGGGGCCCATACTGGGATGGAAGAAACAATACCTGCAATTGACAAATCAAAAAATAAAGAGTTCTTTTTTAATATTTCTTTTTAATTGCAATTTGGGTGAAAGTTTACAGAGCAAATTGGTTTTCCATTCAACAATTTGTATACATTGTTTTATGACATTCATTGCAAGCCCCACAAGAGAGTTCATGATTTTTGACAGATTTTGAAAGAACATGAATAATGAAATATATAGATGGAAAAGAAAATGGATGACTATTTGATGTCTGAGGAATAAGAGGTGGTATAATTTCTTCATCCATAGCCTAGAAACCTTATTATCACATTTCCCCTAACCTGAATATAAGTTGAGTTCTAAGACTGTCATTTTCTCATACCCTCTTACCTCCAGATTCTCCCCAGCGCACCAATGCAGAAAAGCAAACCAGTAGTTCAATCGGTTTTAAACTATCCACAAATAGATAGTAGGACACACGTTCATCTGAGAACTGGAACAAATCAAATCAATCATATACTCATTAGCAGTCTAATGTTAATAATGTATTACAATACCTAACATTTATAGATAACTTACATATTTTAGTTGTAATGATATGAAAAAATCATACTGGGTGAATGTATGCAATAGTCTATGGACACTGGGTCTGCAGGGCCTGTGTGTGAGACTGGTATCCATACAAAAGTCACAGCCCTCCTGAATAAAGAAAAGGACTGTGCTTGTTCTGGAAGTAAGAGAAGAAAGGAGACTGGGCCCAGAGCTCAGCATTGCTTGGAGAATGGGTCTCTCACAGGCAGGGAGGCCAAAGAGGAAATTTGATGGAGAATCGAAATGTCTATCCCCATTATTTTATTTTATTTTTATATAAAGAAACTGAAACACAGTAATTTGCCAAAGGTCATAGAGTATGCAAGCAGCAAAATGGTATTCAAAAGTAGTTGTATCCATCTACCTGATTCTGAATCCAGCACTCTTGACTACTCAGCTAGCATTGCCTCGCATATTCTTAATGTTATAACAAATTTTGCCTTATGGCATTTTGTAAATATACAAAATAAATTTAATTGTCACTATATTTTTGGACTATATGAAGAAAAACACATTTTTGAGATTGGACGAAGACTCATCGGCAACCTGACACAGGCAGATGACACAGCCTTGTTTACCGAAACTGAAGATGACTTGAAGCATTTATTGAAGAAGATCAAAGACTACAGCCTTCACTATGGATTACACTTCAACATAAAGAAAAAAAAAACTTCTTACAACCAGACCAGTAAGCAACTTCACAATAAATGGAGAAAAGATTGACATTGTCAAAGGTTTCATTTTACTTGGCTCCACGATCAACATTCATGGAAGCAGGCAAAAAATCAGATGACATATTGTCTGGAAAAATCTGTTTCAAAAGACCTCTTTAAAGTGTTAAAAAAGAGCAAAGATGTCACTTTGAAGATGAAGGTACACCTGACCTAACCATAGTATTTTCAGTAGCCTCATACACATGTGAAAGCTGGAAAACTAATAAGGAAGACCTAGGTAGAACTGATGCATGTAAAGAATGCCAGGAGAATGAACAAATCTGTCCTGGAAGTACAGACGGAATGCTGCTTGGAAGCAAGAATGGCCAGACTTTGTCTCACCTACTTCGGTCATGTTATCATAAAGGACCAGTCTCTGGAGAAGAATTTCATGCTTAGTAAAGTAGAGGGTTGCTGTAAAAGGAGAAGACCTTCAATGAGACAGATTCACATCATGGCTGCAGCGATGGGCTCAAGCATATCAAAGATTCTGACGATGACACAGGCCCTGGTGGTGTTTCGTTCTGCTGTACACAGAGCTGACTCAATAGCTCCTAACAACATAACAACATACTTTTGAAAAGAAGACTTGTTGGCATAGTGGTAACGAAAAGGTTGGTGGTTTGAACCCACCAACTGTGGGAGAAAGATCTAGTAGTCTGCTTCTATGAAGATTACAGTCTTAAAAATTCTATATTGTTGTTGTTGTTAAGTGCCATTGAGTTAGCTATGACTTGTAGCAACCCTATGTACAATAGAACAAAACACTGCCCAGTCCTGTGCCAGCCCCATGATCCCCGCTATGCCTGAGCCCATCGTTGCAGCCCGTCTCAATCCATCTCATTGAGGACCTTCCCCTTTTCCATTGGCCCTCCACTTTACCAAGCATGATCTCCTTCTCCAGGGAATGGTCCCTTCTGACAACATGACCAAAGTAGGTGAGATGCAGTCTGGCCATTCTCGCTTCCAAGGAGCATTCTAGCCGCACTGAAAATTCTTTAGGGCAGTTCTATTCTGTCCTATAGGGTTGCTAAGAGTCAGAATTGACTCACAGCACACAGGAACAGCAACATATTTTAAAAGATTTGCATACTGTTTTACCCCAACACTTAAATGTTAATATGAACAAACTATCTCAAGTAACGCTATGAAAAAGGAGACCTTTTTATTCAATCAAATAAAACAAGATTGTTGAATGTTAGATATAATGCAAGATTATTTTAAATTATTGCTTCCTTCACTAAGTTCCATTAGTTATCAGTTGATGCTTGATTTCATTTATTTCCTTTTGTTGTTGTTGTTGTTATGTGCCGTCGAGTCGGCCCCGACTCATAGCGACCCCTCCTTGGGTTTCCGAGGCAGTGTCACTACGGAAGTAGGATTGCCCAACCTTCCTTCCGAGGAGTGGCTGGTGGGTTTGAACCGCCAGCCATCTGGTTAGCAGGCAAGTGTCTTAGCCACTATGCTACCAGGGCTCCCTTATTTCCTTTTAGCTATGACTTATTGGTGGTAGAGAGTTGTTTCAAATATTCACTATCTAAATATCTGAAGGAGCCTGGGCTTGCCAGCTCAGGTTGCATGTCCAAGGAGGAGTGTCTGCACAGAACTTGTTTCTGTTCATAATTTACCATCTGAGAAAGGGTGAGGGTGGTCCTAGATGCCACTCAGATGTCTTGATGCCATCGCTACACTGAGCACCAGCAAAGGAGCCATGGAGGGTGCTGAGGACCACCCTAAGGGTCCCGTGCCCCCAGTTGCCTCGGCAGCCATCTCAGCTGGCAGCACGTGACCACTAAAGTCAGAAGCCCAGGCCTCCGACCACAGCTAAGCCTTTTCCAGCCATACAAAAGACCATCAAGTGTGGGTGCCAACCTTCTCTAAGACAAAGTTTTGGTTTTCTCACAAAATTAAAGTTGTTTTTTTTAAAAGGGAACTTATATGGGGATGCCATCATTTTATTTTGCCAAGCTAGAATTTTAAAAGGAAAAATAAAAAATTTACCATCACTCATAAAAAAAGGATCAGAATAAAGAACAGTTAGCCATTTCACCACACACACATCTATATCCATCTAGCTAGCTTGCTAGATATCTGATGATGTTGTTGTTGTTGTTATGTGCCGCCGAGTCGGACCCGACTCATAGTGACCCCTCCTTGAGTTTCTGAGGCAGTATCACTACGGAAGTAGATTGCCCCATCTTCCTTCTGAGGAGTGGCTGGTGGGTTTGAACCGCCAGCCTTCTGGTCAACAGTCAAGTGCTTTAGGCACTATGCTATCAGAGCTCTAGGTATCTAATGATATATAACAGAAACTGACAGGAAAACTGCCTTTAATATGACAGCTAACTTTTATTATCACTCACCAGCCACTCCTCGGAAGGAAGGTTGGGCAATCCTACTTCCGTAGTGATACTGCCTCGGAAACCCAAGGAGGGGTCGCTATGAGTCGGGTTTGACTCGACGGCAAACAACAACAACAACAACAACAACAAGGTAATAAGAAGCCCTGGTGGCATAGTGGTTAAAACACTTGGCTGCTAACCAGAAAGTCAGCGTTTCAAACCCACCAGTTGTGCCACAGGAGAAAGATGATGCAGTCTTCTTCCACAAAGATTGACAGCCTTAGAAACCCTATGGGGCAGTTCTATTCTGTCCTATAGGGTTGCTGTGAGTCAGAATTAACCCAATGGCAGTAGGTTTGGTTTGGTTTGACTGGACACCAGGCATTCTTTTAAGTGTTTTACATATATGGTCCCATTTACTTCCGAACTCTACAGTATGGATCTCTCATTACCCCCATTTTATAAATAAGGAGATTGAGGCAAACAGACTGAAATAACTTGCTCAGAGTTCTACACAGAGTAAATGTTGGAGCCTGGATTTTAAACCAGGAAATCTAGCTTTAGAGATATTAATCTGCTCTTGTAAAGGTGTACCAAGTGGAAAAGGAACACACTTGAAATTAAAATAATGGTCTTAATAATTAATATTTTAAAAATATAATCATTATGAGTTGAGAAATTTGAAGGCATTGTGCACTAACATGACTATCAAAATTTAATTGTAAATTTCCCTAGGGAAAGAAACATATTTACCTTTTTATATACATATAAAATAAAATATATTTACCTTAAATTCTGTTTTCTGAAAATTAACACAATATGAACTTGGCTTATGGAAAATATATATATTCCTGAAAAAAAATTGTGAATGAAAGGTTATTGTCATTTTACTCAACAGTCTAGTACTAAGCGTTAATTTGCTCAGAAAGAAAACAAGTATAGGCATAGAATGGTAAAGAGAGATAAAAGTTACAAAACATTAACAACCATAGTGTTGAGTTATTTAGTTGCCTTAAAGGGACAAAAATGATTGAATCATCTTAGTAAAAAAAAGTCTTCGACATAATCAGCAAAAAGTCTTTCAAGAGAAGCTAAAACTGGATGGAGATTGGTTTGGCTATTCATGTGCTATATCGACAATTAACTTGCCATTTTTTTCTCATTAAAACTTTTATCTGACATTATTCCAACATGAGGCTAATATTGACTGAACTTTTGAATGACAGCTAAAAGCTAATGGCATATATAACCACTATATGAAACATCCAAAAATAAGCATTTTATACTTACTGAAAGCATACACAGAAGTCCTCATAATCTAACCATGTTTCTTTAGAAACAGCAGTATTTATCGACACTAGTTCTTCCTGAGATTTGTCTTGAGTTGCTACTGTCTGGCTGATAAAATCTTGGTAACTCATTCCTTCAGGTGGATGTGGCGGATCATTCATTGCAAGGTCTGTTTGCTCATCTGTGAATAGTAGAGGTACAAGTATGTCAAATACATCTATGTTGTTAAATAAAAACTTACTAAAATGTGGAAAATTATAGACCAAACCAAAAACTGAACCCACTGCCATCAAGTCAATTCCAACTCATAGCAATCCCCTGGGTTTCCAAGGCTGTAAATTTTTATGGAAGCAGATTGCCTCATCCTCCTCCCATGGAGCAGCTGATGGGTTTGAACTGCTGATCTTCTGGTTAGTAGCCAAATGTTTTAGCCACTATGCCACCAGAGCTCCTTGGAAAATTATAGACCGTGGAACTGGACTGTGGACTCACTGCTATCGAGTCGGTTTTGGCTCACAGTGACCCCTCCTTGGTTTTCCGAGTTGGTATCTCTATAGAGGTAGATTGCCCAGTCTTCCTTCTGAGGAGGGGGGCTCAAATATGAAAGCCTATGCTTAGGAAGATAGATGCTGAGATAATCATTTTCATGCAGATCTCAGGTTTGTGGAGGTCCCTACAGAGACACAGTTCATAAACTCAGTGGAATGGAACCTTAACTACATGTATATCAGAATGTTTAGAAATTTTGAAATCTCTTTCATAAATGTATACACGGTTTTTAGAATTTTCTCAAGCTGCAACAGAAATCAGCCAGCCTATATACTTATAATCTATTATAGACAGGTATCTGCAGATAAGAAAGAATGGCCGAGACAACAGAAGGGAGAAACAAAACTTGAAAGACTCATCCCACCAAAGCATGTTCCGGTACACCATTTATTACCCCTCATACTCAGTGATTCCATAGCTTAATGTTTAGAAAATAATGTTATAAAATTTGTATGGCCTTTTGGAACCAAAATTTTATACAAACACATATCACTTCATACTTTTTTGTATTGGTCACTAGTGACTTAGGAATTGAGGAATTTGCCAAGGTTTACATATTTTGATCACAAAGTGTCTATATTAAAACATTAACTTTCTCATGGGCTCTTAACCAAAGCCTCTTTTACTTTTAAGCTTGAATTTAACAAGAGAGATTATCTGATTTTTCTAGCCCAGAGAAGATTAGACTCAATAAATCAGAGGCGACACTACAGAGAGGTTGGCTCGACACTACAGAGAGGTTGGCTCGACACTACAGAGAGGTTGCCAAGAGCCACCAGAAGGGGGAGGGGAAAGCTGTCAAGAAGCAGAGACCCTTTTGTACTTTGATGTCTGGGAAAAAAAAGAGAATGAAATTTTAAATTTACCTTTTCCAAGTACAACTTGCAAAGCAACATTGCCCTGTGAATTGGAAAGGACACATTAAGCAACCACTTACGAGTTCAACAAAATGCTGCGGTTATCTAAAACACAAAAAGTTTTAAAAGAGTTAATACTGTTTTTTAAAATATTGAGGAAACATATTTCCACAAAAACTTACTGAGAACATACAGCAAAGCTGAGAATTTAGGTTTTTCATCTTAAAATAAAAACAAAGTGAATTTAATAAAATAATAGCAGAGGGTTTAGGTTTGTGACATTAAAACACAGAATATATGAATTTATCAAATGATTTAATCTTAGAACAAAAGTTAAATTAAACAATAATATCCCTAAGGAGACATATTGTCTGGTATTAGGCACTGCCTTAAATACAGGGAAATGGATGAGATTATGATTAAAACCAAATTCACTGCCATCGAGTCGGATCCAACTCATAGTGACCCCTCCTTGGGTTTCTGAGGCAGTATCACTACAGAAGTAGATTGCCTAACCTTCCCTCTGAGGAGTGGCTGGTGGGTTTGAACCACCAGCCCTCTGGTTAACAGTCAAATGCCTTAGGCACTAGCAATTAATTTCTAGAAACTTGAAAGGCTAGTTTCAAATGATTAAAAAAAAAAAAAAAAATAGTTCCTGAAACTTTTAACAGAGAAGCACGGTAAAATGAAGGTGTAAGACTTCCAGTTTATGTTTCAGCTGAATTAATAAATATAACTCTGTTTTCTCTGGAGCATAAGCAAAACATAAGTAAAAGACAAAATGGGAGAAACTCATAAAGACAAGTTATGGGTGTTGCCAATCATTTTTTTGGTTGATGTAAATGGATGAAGGAGATAGCAGAATGGAGATAACTGAGTAATAAGTGACAATGTGAAGAAGCTGATCCTTGGCTTCAGACCCCAGAAGCACTTAGCAGGTATGTGATGAGAAAATAAGGCACCAGGCAGAAAACAGGGGTATGAGTCGAATATCTATGTAAGGAACAGGCAAATCTCCGCGTTCTCTCCCCAATCCCATCTGGTTTACCTGCTAGCCTCTTCTGCCTAAATGGGTCACTGAAAGTTACCTCAAGTGGAGGAATTCAATGAGAAGCCTCCAGATCTGGGTTCACAGATACTTAGAACGCAGGAGAGGATTCTGTACGGGGAGCAGTAGAATTATGTGGAAGAGTTGATGATGACCACTGAGAATCCCAGCCCCTCCACGGTGCTGGACTTTCGTAACACTGGCAGACAGGTGTGTGTTCCAGTCTCTGGGACCCTCCCACACCCCAGGAGGGACATTAAGGGTGCATCAGCTGCAGACACTGACCAGTAAGAGAAAACCCAGACACTGACAGTGAGAGCCAGTTCTGTCTCCATAGGAAGCCCATTCATACGGAATTATCTGAAAATAAACTGACTGGTTGATATGCTCCCTCCACGTCACAGAGCTCTTCATCGCACAAACTGGAAACCAAACCCAGTTGAGTAGATTCTGACTCATGGCAGCCCCATGTGTTACTGAGTAGAACCGCTCCACAGGGTTTCTTGGCTGTGATCTTTACGGGAGCAGATCTCAAGGTTTTTTTCCACATCACTGTTTTATGGGATCAAGTCCCCAACCCTTACATTAGCAGTGGAGCACACAGTGTAGTGTATGGATTCCTTAAGTACATATAACAAAGGATTATCAGATAATTGAGGGAAGATTCTAATGTGAAAGAAAGAAACAAATGGGATGCGAGTGGGTTTTCATAGACAAAGAAGCAATAATATAAGGAACTTTTTTTTTTCCTTAATTCACAATGTCAGAGCATTTCAAAAAAGTAATGGCTCAAAAACAAAAACCCAAGAGAACATTTAGAAACTAAAATTGTTGTTGTTGTTGTTGTTAGGTGCCGTCGAGTCAGCCCTGACTCATCGGATAATTAAAATAAATTCAATAGAAGGATTAGGAAGGAAAGTTGATACAAAAAACAAAGATACATAAAATACGTAAGAAAACATCAAGCACATTAGAAAATAAATCATGGGGAGCAAGTTGTATAATAAGAGATCCAGAAAGCAAAGATAATAAGAAGAGGAAATTATTAAGGGAATAGTACAAGAGAATTTGCCAGATACAGAATATGAGTTTCCAGGTTGAATATCAGTTTCCTAGGGGTTCCGGAACCAAGCATGACTAAATGGGAGCCTTAGCACAACAGGACTTTATTCTCTCACAGTTCTGGAGACTGAAATTCCAAAAGCAAGGTGCTGGTAGAGCTGCGCTTCCTTTGAAGGCCCTAGGAAAGAAAGACTCTTTTGTTTCTTCCAGCAGCTGGTGGCCCCAAGAGATCCTTGGCTTGTTAACAGCACAACTCCAACCTCTGCTTCCACTGCACATTTCCTTCTGCAAATGTATCTCTGTGTCCTCCCTTCTTCTTATAGAGGCACCTGTCACCGCTGCATTTGGGACCCACTCTGATCCAGTATGACCTCACCTTAATTACATCTGCAAAGGCTGTTTTCAAGTAAGATCGATCACATTCTTAGGTTCCAAGTGGAAATGTATTTTTGAGGGACATTATTCAAACCACTACAAAGCAGCTTCTATGAACCTAGCACAGTTCACAGAAAAAAGACCCATATCAAAACCGATAATTGGGAAATTTTATGATACCAAGAATGAGCAAAATCCCTAAAACTTTCCAGAGAAGGAAGAGTTATATTTAATGAGCAAGAATTAGAATGTCACCTGCATACTCAAGATCAATGCTCAAAGGCACAAGGGATCAAGGCATTACAAACTGTTAAGGAATACCACTTTCCAGCTGGAATTTCATAGCCACAATGTTATTGGCAATATTTGTGACACTATCCACAAAAGATATTAGTATTTTGCATTATACCACAGTTGTTTAAAATATCTTAGAGTATCATTTATGCTGATCACTGCTTTAAAATTACATCCATTAGTTGGCCCACGGTTAGAGTTCACATGGTCATCTGTTGCTGTCTACAGATACTCCAATGACATAGCTGGCCAGCTATCTGGCAACTATGCCTAGTAATCATTCAACACCCAAACAGTGATGCTGTTTGCTCTCACAGTGCTAACCTTGAGAGCTATATTGCTTCCTTGTATTCCCTATCAACTATTTCCAGTTAACTAATATGCAAAGAGGAGCTCTGGTAGCATAGTGGCTAAAGAACTTGACTGCTAACCAGAAGGCTGGCGGTTCAAACCCACCAGCCACTCCTCGGAAGGAAGGTTGGGCAATC